CTCCCTCCCCCACCTCTCCCCACCCCCCCCCAACCCCACCCCTCCCCCCTCAGAGGCGCCCCCGCCCTCGCCCGTTCATTAATGGCTTCCCTCCCACGTACAGGAGCAGCTGGCTGAGTTAGAGGCCGCGTTCTCTAAGAGTCACTACCCAGACATCTACTGCCGGGAAGAACTCGCTCGCAAGACCAAACTGAACGAGGCCCGAATCCAGGTAGGTGATGGAGTCCATTTTTTGCTTTTTTTAAGGGAGTTTTTAAAGGTTTTATTTTGATTTTTTTTCGGTTGTTTTTTTTTTTTAGGGGGTAAGGTGGGGTAGAGAGGGTTGGGGAGGGGGAGGGGGAGGCTGGGGTTGGTGCTGTTGCTATTATTATTAATATTGATTTAAAATTTATTATGATGGTGATAATGATGATGATTATTGTGATCATCATCATCATTGGTTTTGTTGTTCTTTATATAAGTACTTTTGAGTTTCGCGCCATTTTATTAAATAACATAACTTCGACCGTTTATTATGATGATCTGACATTTTAAGATCGCCGGAGGTTGTAGATTCCCGCAAAGAATACGTACTTATTTTATCTAAGAATACTAGCTTTACTTATATTTTTTTGTACTTATAGATACGTTCATTTATTAAAGAATTATTCCACTTTAGAGCGTAAAAAAATCTAGGTTGTTTGTAACGATATGAATAAATGCATATAATTGGTGATTCATTTTAGGGTTTCATTTTGAAAGCGATAAATATGGAAAACAAACTACCCATGTTTACGAAGCGTCAAATAAGCAATAAAAAGAAGAAAAACAGTGACAACGATAGTCAAAATAACGGTAACACTACGGGCTTAAAACAGAAATGGTTAAAAAGTAGATAAAAAAGATAGATACAGTTAAAAAACAAAATAGGTTAGGAAAAAAAACTGATAAGTAGATAACTAGCTAATAACGGTGAAAATAACTGTAATTTGACAGTAACACTCAGGGATAAACGACATCAACATTGACAACTGTATTATCAAAATCAACAGGTATTAAACGAACAATCAATAAAAAAGAAAGAAAAAAAAAACAAGAAACAGATTGATAAATAAAAAGATTAAAAAAACATTGACAACAGTACATCGACCATAGGCCTACATACCACAAAGAAGAGAAAAATAAAATCCGTAAACAATAAAAAAAAAAAAAACAGAAAACACACCAACAAATAAACAAACAACACCACTTACACCTTAAGGAATAAACAAGCGAGTGATGATAATAATAACAATAAAAAAATCAACAATGAATGCACAGAACCACCCATACCATCGCCCACGTGACATCCTGATGAATAAACAAGCGAATAATAAATAAATAAATCATTAAACACCACCTCAAATCACCCCACAACAACCAAATCAATAAACAAGCAAATGGTAATTAAAATAAAAAGGAAAAAAAAGAATAATGAACAAATAAATACATACATAGATAAACAAACAGTTACAGCACCCCCTCCCTCCCCTCCCCTAAATCACCCCGTATCACCAAAATGAATAAAAAAGCGAATGATAATTAAAATAAGAAAAAAAAAACAATAACTATACCAATAAGCTAATAACAAATAAATAGATAAATGAACAGTAATGCCCCCCCCTCACCTAAATCACCCCGTATCACTAAAATAATAAACAAGCGAATGATAATTAAAAAGAAAAAAAAAAACAATATGACACGAGGCCGCCAAAAACCCGATCCCACGCCACACAAACGCGCATGACAGGTATCCTCCATCATGGCTGTCATTTCACCTGTCAACGGCGACTTATGGCTTGACTGCTTGACGGGGAAACCAAGCCACGAATGATTGGCCAATCACGACCCACCGGAGGCTTGTTAAGTATCTCTAAGTTACTTATAAGGGTGATTATTGATTATGCAGATGTGCTGGCATTGGTTAATGTGTGTGCGGTGGGAGGGGAGGGAGGGATGGGTGGGGAGGGAGGGAGGGAGGGAGGAGGGGAGGAAAGGGCGGGTTGGTTGAGGGGAGAAGAGAGGGACGGAGAGAAGATAGGGAGAAGAGAGGACGGAGAAGATAGGGAGAAGGAGGGATAGATGGGGTGAGGTGGAGGATGGTGGGGAAGGAGGGAGAAGGGAGAAGATGGGAGGATGAGGAAAGAGAGAGAGAGAGGGACGGTTTGAGGAGGGAGGAGGGAAGGGAGAAGAGGGAGGAAAAGGAGAAGGAAGATGAACGGAAAAGAGAAGGGTTGAAGAGAGGAAGAAGGGGAATGGAGAAGGGATGAAGGAGAAGAGGACGAAAGAAGGATAGAAGGGGTGGAGAGCGGAGAGAGGGAGTGGAAGGAAGAGAAGAAAGAGGAGGAGAAGGAGAAAAGGGAAAGGGGTGAAGGAAGGAGAAAAAATGGGAGGAGAACCAGGAAGAAGGGAAGGGTCAAGGAGAGATGAGAAGAGAGGGAGGAAGAAAAAGGGAGGAGGAAAGAGAGAGAGAGGAAACACG